CAGCATCAGCCAATAAAAATAAATCTGCAATCGGCTACTTTCGGAGCTGGGGTATTTGCATAAAGCGTTCTGATTAGCTGATGCTTCTGTTGGGGCTTGCAAAGTTGAGAAATTCCCAACTTCTGCAGCAACCAATGCTACTGAAGCAGCGATGACGGACCCACAATTCAGTTTGGCAACGCTTGACGTCACCCATTCAAAGTGAATGGAAAGCGTTAGAGCTGACGCCCCATGTAAATAGGGTGTAAGGCAACGCACACCTCCCATGATATCTGCCATATCGTACTGCTACGAGTGTGATACACATCAGCGTGATCTCATGAGGAAAGGTATTGTACGTTTAGTCAATTTTGTGGCTAATTCAAACAGTTCATGTACGATTTTAAAAAGTTGGTGTGACATCAGACCACACCCCTGAACCCAACCGTCAATGATCTGAATTCATACGCATTAGCTACTAAATCAAAGTTGCGAACTGCCGTGAGATTGTGTTTATATATAATTTTTATAAAGTTTATATTTTTTAAATTTCAAACAAATTTTGTTTATTTACCTTTCTATTTATAGATGAATCCTGAAAAATCCTTTAAGAAATATTAAGAAATATTAAGCAGCTAAAACGGTTTTAGAAAAATATTACATAGTAGACACATTACAACCATTATAAATAACGAAAAATCATTAATAATTGACCACAAAATCAGCTTTTTAAAATGATGTCTAAGGATTCAGTTCAACACTAAAGCCTGAATTGCTGAAAAATAATAATCATAAAAATATATATTTAATAATTGTATTAATATTTCCATGTTTACTGTATTTTCTGGTCAAATAAATGCAGCTTTGGTGAGCATAAGAGGTTTAAAAACTGCTTTCAAAATTAGTTATTCCAAACTTTGGCTAGCAGTGTAAGATCTTGAGAGGAAACTATTACACTATTATATCTGTAAGTAGGGTGGCATGGTGGCTCAGTGGTTAGCACTGTCGCCTTACAGCAAGAAGGTCGCTGGTTCGAGACCCAGCTGGGTCAGTTGGAATTTCTGTGTAGAGTTTGCATGTTATCCCTGTGTTGGTGAGGGTTTCCTCTGAGTGCTCCGTTATCCCTCACAAGTCCAAAGACATGCACTATAGGTGAATTGAAAAAGCTAAATTGTCCGTCATGTATTTGTGGGAATGTGAGAGTGTATGGGTGTTTCCCAGGGCTGGGTTGCAGTTGGAAGGGCATTCGCTGTGTAAAACATATGTTGGAATAATTGGTGGTTAATTCCGCTGAGGCGACCCCTAATGAATTAGCCGAAGGAAAATGAATGAATATTTGTAAGTATTACTATTAGACATGAAGTGAATTGCAGCTATCTTAAAGATATACAGCCACTGCATCAGTCAATAAACCTACCCGACTTACTTCATGTCTCATATAACATATATTTCATCATATACAGCGCATCCCCATTCAACAAGACAAAACCTCTTTAACATACTTCTTCTCTGCTAACGTATGGCCTTTCATTGAGCGACCGCTGGCCGGCATCCAGAGCGCCGGGGACACAGAGACACAGCTTCGTCATTCAGACAAATACAATGGATCTCTTTCTAATGGGGTCTTAAAGTGTTACGCAGACTTGGCCTTCGCTTTCTCGAGTCGTCAGAAGACGAATCATAGAGTGCAAGAGACCGAATCAAAGCCCAAACAGTGAAGAATTACAGAAGATAACAGTCTGACCATGACTACTACAACTACCACGTCACAAAAACCTAACAAGCTGACTAACTAGACGGCATTTTGGATACATTTAATGATAACTGTGCAAATTAAGTCTAAAAACAATGGGTTAAGTCAAAAAACACTGGGTTGCTGTGTCCAGATCTGCCTACTTGTACTAGATACTAAAAGTATGTACAGAAAGGTATAAACAGAAGCGTATGACATACTACTTCCTCAATAATGGACCGTTATGTTGCTGTTACTTGCCCTGCTCTGCCAATCATCTCAACATCAATCACATTTCTTTTATATTTAATTTACAACAATTTTGGCGAAGCAGCAGTAGAGATCATGCAGAAAGTATTTAAACTGACCAAATGCCTCTTTATAAAAGTTTGCATTGTTGCTGATTAAATAAATGGATTATGTGAAATAAATATATTCCAGACGGTTAGATATTAACTCACATTTATTCAAACATCTTCACCAAAGCCTCTCTACTTAACCGTTGCTCTCGCATGTCCACCATGTTTGTAGTGCTAATCAAATAAACATATAATGTCCAAAGTATTGTGGGTAATATTAGATGTTAAACAACACACATGTTTGCACTTCAAATTTCTACGGGAAATAATAGACCATGCAGACAACTTTGGATTACTCATTTTAACATACGATTTGGGACATATCTCTATTTTCGATTACTATGGATAGTATGCTAAATGGGACCCAAAAATTGGGTTAAAAATTGTCATTTAAGTTTAAGTGAAAAAAATAACCCAGCTTTGGGTTACAACAACCTGGCATTTTAAGAGTGTAGTGTTTTGCTAAATCTGAGATTTTCAAACTGGTGCCCATGGACTGCCATGGGGCTGTAAAGGAGTGCTATGGAAGGGGTCTGTGGAAATGCTTGGGGGGGAGGGGGGATTATAAAAATATTTAAATTAATGAAGAATTTATGAAATTAAAAAAACTAAAAATGAAGACAAATAAATGCATAAGTACAATATTTTTTATTAATCATAAAACAATCAATGCACTAATATAATTAATAACATTATTAACTAATAATTAATATTATTAGTTAATTAATAACACAAAACATTATTTTTTATCTGGTATTTCAAAAGGTTTTTGTGTTGCTAATAATAGAAAACAACAATATCATCCATTAATTGTAATTGTGGGTGAAAAACAGGCATTATGACTAATTTTGAATAGTTTTCTGCCATTTCAGGCATCATAAATAAATGTAAAAAACAAAATACATCCCATTCATATATATGAACAGTTGAAGTCAAATTTATTAAACCCCCTTTAAATTTTCTTTTCTTTTTTAAATATTTCCCAAAGGATGTTTAACGGAGCAAGGAAATTTTCACAGTACTGATAATATTTTTTCTTCCGGAGAAAGTCTTATTTGTTTTATTTCAGCTACAATAAAAGCAGTTTTTAATTTAAAAAAATGTAAGGTTAATATTAGTAGCCCCTTTAAGCTATTTTTTTTCCTGATAGTCTAAAGAACAAACCATTGATATAACTTGCCTAATTACCCTAACCTGCCTAGTTAACCTAATTACCCTAGTTAGGCCTTTAAATGTCACTTTAAGCTAAAATCTAGCATCTTGAAAAATATATAGTAAAATATTATTTACTCTCATCATGGCAAAGATAAAATAAATCAGTTATTAGAAATGAGTTATTAAAACTATTATGTTTAAAAATGTGTTGAATCAATAGATGGCTTTTACATTTTAGGCTGGGGAATGGTCATATTTAGGGGTCCCCATGGCATCTAAAAGATTGAAAACCTCTGATTTATACGGGACATCCTCAAGATTTATCAAATATAACCTTGCTTTTAATGTAAGGGCATTTGTGACCTCTGTGCATCCCTGCATTGCATTTAATGCAATAAAGTATGAAAGACTGTTATATATAACTGTACTGTCCTTCAGTGTCCGTTTATAGCTGTCTTTGAGGCTTTGAAATGCTGCAGCAGTGAGCAAAGGGTGATGCATTATTGCAGTGTGCAGCAATAGATAAAGGTTGATTTAAGACACGCCTCTCGTCTAAAGGAAAAACCCCAAAGATCATCTTACAAACCTGAGATTCTGCACGTACAGTGAGAACTACTGTCTATTACAGTCCCATTGAAAACTGCTATAAAGACACGTTTGACAAACACAGCAGCTTTCTGATGGCTAAATGCCATCAAAGATACAGAGGACTATATGGAAAGTTGAAAGATGACATAATGAACTTTTAAAGCAAAAACGTGCCTGAAAAGGATTCATGCTTCATTTCCTTTGAATGAATGACAATAGTTTTGTCATTGAATGCAATGTCATTCAGTGTTTTTTAACCGTGGCTGACCGATACTGCATATCGATGTTTAGGTTTTTTATTTAATCACTTATTGATTCTTTCCTATTATCAATAGAACCAAAATAGACCTAACAATGCCACTGCATGACTGATGCACAGGTACAAACATACAATTTAAGGATATTGTTTGTATACATAGTATTAGAATTAGAATTTTTTTTATTTGCAATTTTAGGCTAACGCATTTTTTTTTTTTTAGCATTAATGACTTTACATTTGTAAAAAGAAAATACTAATATAATAATAATAATAATAATAATAATAATAATAATAATAATAATACGTAAAATAAAAAAATTATGTTTTGGGGGGTTTTCAGCCACTGAGGAACATGCTGTTTTATTAGTAATTCTTTTTTATAATTTATTGTATTAGTGTAATGATAAATGGTTATATATATATATATATATATATATATATATATATATATATATATATATATATATATATATATATATATATATATATATATATATATAAGATAAAAGAGAGATTTTACTGTTGTAATATACTGACTGCATCCACTGTACACAAGATTTATATATTAAAGATATATACCTTGTGTACAGTAGATTTAGAAGTTTGTGTTTATATATATATATATATATATATATATATATATATATATATATATATATATATATATATATATATATATACACACACATACATACATACATACATACACACACACACTTCTAAATGACAGGTTAAGTGTAATTTCACTGGTCAGTAAATGGATTAGAAGCGACTGCTGAATGAATGGATGAATGAATGAACGAGTCAGGCGGTGTTCTCCACCGTGTCTGTGACGTCACTCGAGAGGGGGAGGGGGAGTGACAGACGGCGTGTCATCCGAAAGATCTGAACATGAACGCGCTGCAGAGAGAACACCGGCAGTTCTTACCTCCACCGTTTTTGTAGCACAGGTACGGGAAGCGCCAGACGTTCCCCAGCCCCACTGCAAAACCCACGCAGGACATGATGAAGTCCATCTGTCTGGTCCACGTCTCTCGCTCGGGGTAGCCCTCCCTCTTCTTCTCCACCGCCGAGATGGCTCCGGTAGCCGCTGACATGGGCCCCCCGTTGAGGGTCCCGTTGACGCTTGGGTGCGCGTTTCCATTGGGAATGAGATGGCCCTTCTTCTCCTCCACCAGGACCATATTCAGGGCGCAGCAGTCTGCGTCCAGAGAGGATTTTTCCATCTCTCGTGTAAACAAAGCAAATACGAACCTCCTCACGAGACTCGAGAAGGAAGGACTTCTTCAATCAGCAGTCAAAAATAAATATTTGATCTCTTATTGTTTTTGGATTAAGTCAGTTTTTTTTTTCACACCAAGATGTCCCTTTTTGTTCCTCTTCAGGTGCGAGGGATCTGGTCCTCTATCCTTTATTATAACACAACCAGCAGTGTAATTCTTTACGAATGTATAAATATTTTCTGTTCCGTTTCCCCCTCAATGTCAAACGGTTACAACGGATGGCAGTTTGATTTTCTCGGCGAAATTGGCAACGGTAGGGTCGGTCTGTTTTTATCAAAAAGCGCGTTTGTAAAATAAATGATATATCATAAAAGAAAAAGGACACCGATTTTAAACAGCACCTTCAAAAACAATCCACGAAACACTTAAAGGTGAGTCTGAAGAATCGCATGGGCACGTGAATCTCTCAGAGAGAAGGCGACTGAGGAGACGGCAAAACCAAAGCGGCCCTTGGCGCGCGCTGATCAGATGAATGTAATGGAATTACATTCACGAATTGATCGCCTAAATCTCGTCAGACCATCGTTCTCATCGGTATTAAACACATAAAACGTATAAACGAGACGCGGGTCGGTGTACAGGAGGTGCGGCGGCTGCTGCTGTCCCTCTGTGCGCGCGGACGGACTGTCTGATGCGTCCGCGCGAAGCCGCTCGGTGTTTTAACGGGCTCGGTAACGTCACTCGGAGCTCAGCCCTCCCCCTCTCTCCCGCTTAGGGAAAGCAGGGAATGGAGAGCTCACGTACGCTGCGCACTGTACACTACACACTACAGCCTGCGTACTACACAGCACTACACAGCAAGTGCGCGTCCAGCTCACTGGCGCTCTCAGAGATGACAGATTTTTACTGCAGTCTGAGCGCGTTGTGCGGTTTTATTATTGCATTATTACATTATGATGAAATACATATATGAAAGACACACATATATATATATATATATATATATATATATATATATATATATATATATATATATATATATATATATACACACACACACACACACAAACACATATTATACACATAAATTTCATAATATACATTCAATGGTTTCTTTACAAAAGGAAACAAAAACAATAAAATTGGGAAATAAAAATGATAAAATAAAAAAATAAAATAAATAAGATTAACAAAATAAATAAACATATTTTTGAGGGGTGCGCCTAAAAATGCACTAGTTTTGTACAAAAAAATAAATTAAAATAAATATAAATTATTAAAAATATATTTTTATATTATAATATTTTTTAAAATATTAAAAAATAATACAATATAATTTTTTAAATTACATTATTTCATATATCTAAAGGCAGCTAGTGCATCAGAAAGAGGAAGGGCCGTGAAGAAGACACACCCACACAGTCAGTGTTGATGACATTCCAAACGCGCGCGCACACACACACAGTCCACGCAGCTCCATGAGGATGATTAGTCACAGAGCATGTGTGTCAATTTATTTTGCATTTCAAACTACACAAACCTCCCCTCTTGACCACAGAATTTGCCGTTTGGAAAATTACAAACTATGAGGCACTGCAGAAGATTTTCTTTTCATTGATTTGACAACCTCTGCCAAGTGCTGAACTAAAAATAAAAACACATTTATACTGTACACACACATACACACACTTTGCACACTGGAAAACTGAGCTCTAATACTTAATAAAATGAAAAACAAATGCAATAAAACAATTTATATGGCTTTAATTGAAACAAACAAATTAAATTTAGTCATTTTCAACATAATTTGTTTATTTAAATTCAGCCCAAACAAATTGTTTACAACCACTTAACTTAAAAACATTTAGTAAATCCAAAGAATCATTTTTGAATCATTTTTTGTGTTACTGTTTTTTAGAAACACCTTTGAAAAGTTTTGTTCAAACTGTTTGATAAGCTCCATATTGATTTATTATCCCAATAACTGTGTAGTAAATCACCAAGGTGTTTTGGTGGAAGCTGTTTACCAAAGTAAGCAGCCAGTATTGAGTACAGTGGTCGTATGTTTGTGTTGTTTTTCTGGTAAAAAGGTGGGAACAGCCTGTCCCTTATGGGATCATAAAATTCAGCTGAGGTCAGATTTGTCCAATAACAAGTTTTTTTGGACATTAACTGAAAGTGGAATTCTAAGAAAACCCCACGTTCATCTGAAAGAGTAATACTGTAAACATCTCTATCACTCCTCAAACCATTGCAAATTACAGCAGCATACATGTGATTGAAAGAAGCCAGTGATAGTTGGAAAACATCATGGTGAGTGAATTGCGGTCATAGGGGAACCCGATTCACTAGTTAACCTGTTTTATTTCCTCATACATCCACAGCCATTGCTCCAGGGCATTTGAGTGATTCAGAAACATGCAAACTTCTATTCACATTCAATAGCAGACATACTGTATTTTACAGATGTACATTTATGCCTGGTGCATGTGTTTATGTTGTAGACTTAACTGCGCAAAAATCAATTCGATGCACATATTTTGATCTGCATTCATTAAACCCATGGATAATAACTCAACCTAGACTTCCCAGAAAACATTGTGCAACACTATAACTTACGTCTATAGTGTTTCACAATAAAGCAGTGACATTCTGACTGTGGTATTTTATGTTAAACAGCGTTTGTGCATTAATCAACACTCTGAAAAAACTGTTTATTGGATTTACTACATTGTTTTAAGGGAACCAAATTATATGGGCTGAATTTAAACAATAAACAAATTTGATTTGTTTATGTTCAGCCCATATAAAATGTTTGCAAACACGAAACCCTTAAAAAAAAAAAAAAAAAAAAGTAAATACAATGCTTTTTTCAGTGCATAAGTTTGCATAGCTGGACAAAACCTTCTGGGAATGGAAATGGAGAAGTGTAATAAAGAACCCTTGGCCGTAAACATAATTTACAGTTTTGATGTTGACTCACGGGTCAGGTGAAACACAGGCCACATACTGTATACATTAAAATTAGACCATGTCTGTATAACTTTAAAATAGATCCTTCTTGCCAAGTTATGTCACTGTATGTTGAGGCATGCGCTACCATACTAGGGGGGCCGTTCATTTAAAGGGACAGTTCACACAACAATTAACATTTGCTGGTAATTTACTTGCATGAAGGCAAATCTAAAATCAATAACTATGTCTGCTGATGAAAAATTCGAGGTGAAATGATCGAAATTGAATATTTAGATTATTAATTGACCATGTCTATGATAATATAGACAGAACTTAACATTCTTGTCACATGACATTGTATTTAAAGGGATAGTTCACCCAAAAACTGAGAATTCTGTCATTGTTTACTCGTCCTTCACCTCATCAAAATCTATTCTTCTAGCCAAGTTATGTCACTATGGGCTCTATTTTGATGATCTATGCGCAAAGTGCAAAGCGCAGAGCGCAAAAGCAATAAGGGTGTGTCGGAATCCACTTTTGCTATTTTAAGGACAGAAAAATCCGCTTTGCGCCGTGGCACATGGTCTAACAGGGTTGAGCTTATTTTCTTAATGAGTTATAGGTGTGTTCTGAGAATTAATCAATTAGAGTCTCATCTCCCATTCCCTTTAAGAGTCATTTGCGTCGCACCATAGCGCATTTGCTATTTACATGACAGACTTTGTAAGTGGAAAAACTGAGCATTTTACTAGCAAGAAAACAGATAAACAGAGCATCTACAGTGTGAGAATGAGAGACAAGCCTCCTCATTTTTTACTTTCACTTTCACTCTCGTGGATAGGGAAACTTCTTGTACGCACAGACATTAGCCTACAATTAATTTCATTTGTTAAGCGCAAAGATTTGTGTCAAAACTATTTCTAAATTAAGTTCTAATTTCCAGCAAATTAAAACATGAACAATAATAACGAAGTGTGCTCAAACAACTGAGATATATACTAATACACATGCTGTGCCCCATATTGTCTAAAACCTGACAGGTGGGGAAATCTAAGCTTGCTTTTAATAAAACAAATATAAATATGCATATAGTAAATAATACTGCTAATAATAATAACATTATACAAAAGCAAATTGTTATGAATAAACTATAAAAAGCCCCCCTGAGATGAAGAAGGCATGAAAGTATTGTTTTATATTTATGTAGGCTACAAAATAAAATGTTTTGTAATATTTTTAATTGTTTATATTTACATCTTATTTATATATCCTTATTATATCCTATTTATATATCCTTAATATTTAAATTATTTTTTATATGTAATGATATTTGCGTATTGCTCTACATCCTGTCTGTATTCAGCAATGTGTAAGCGAGGCACACAACCAACGCGCTCTGCGCTGGACTATAGACCAGCTTAGTTCTGGTCTATTGAATCTATTGTTTCCTAAAATAGCAACGGGCCAGCAATGCACCTTGACACACCTCCTTTTTTAGACCAGAACGCCTATGGGCGCACATATGAGCGCAAATGCATTTGCTATTTAAACAGCGTGGCGCAAAACGACTCTTGCATCAAGCTGAAACAAGCAAACAACAATTGCGTCGCTCCTTGCGCCGCATTGCACCGGGTGTATGATAAGGCCCTATATGTTCAGACATGTTACCATACTAGGGCTGTTCATTTAAAGACACATTCCTACCGAAAATGAGCATTTGCTGGTAATTTACTCGCATAAAAACAAATCTAAAAAGAATAACCATGTCTGCTGATTATATTGAATCGAAATTGAAGCATAATCATGAAAATCTAGACAGAGCTTGACATTCTCATCACATCATGTTGTATTTAAAGGGATAGTTCACAAAAAATTGGACTTCTGTCATCGTTTACTCATCCTTCACTTGATCAAAACCGATTCTTCTTGCCAAGTTATGTCACTGTACATCTGACATGCATTACCATAGGGCTGTTCATTTATGAAATATATGAAAATGTAGCATTAAAGCTATGGTCAAACTAGAGTTTGAGCATGCAAAATTCTGTCAGATGATGCTGTGAAATGAAACAAGATGATGCACCACTGAAAAAATGAGCGACTGCTCCAAATGTAACATTTCTGTACAGAGATGCCAAGATACTGTATGATTTCTATTGGGCTCAGGAATTCACAGGTCAGAATTACAAGCTTGAACTGTTTGAACAAGCTTGAAAAGCAGCGACATGCAAAACTTGTCACACAAGCTTGCATTTCCAGTCTGGCACATTCGCATGTGTATGAATATCAATGAAAGTCAATGGGGCGAAAAGTGCAGCGTGACCACAGCAGAAGAGTTGGCACAGTCTTTCTCACAGTGTTGTTTGCTGCCAGTTTTAACATGGTTAGCTAAAGCACTTAAAACTGAGGATACACTGCAAAAAATGCTTTTCTAACTTAAAATTTTTGTCTTGCTTCTTGTCCAAATATTTTAAAGCTCTTAAATTAAGAAGCATTTTCTAGACAAGCAAAACACATAGCATTGTTTTAAGAAATAATATGTCAATATTAAGTGAGTGTTTCCTTAAAACAAGCTAAATAATCTGTCATGGGCTAAGCAAAATAATCCTATGTCAAAAGGAAAAACAAGATTACGTAAGGAAAACTCACTTAATGTTGGCATTTCTTAAAACAAGACCATTTATTTTGCTTGTCTAAAAAAAAACACTTCTTGATTTAAGGATTGTTTGATATTTGGATTAGAAGCAAG